ACCTCTGCAACATAAAAGGTAAAGGACAGTAAAGTTAGACTGAAGCAAAGTGCTCTTAGAGTTGCTGATGCCCAGTTTTCTCTTGGTTTAGTATGGGAGGTAGGAGCTTTTACTCAGGCATAGATAGAACTCTGGTGAGTGGAATGCTGTAGCCATATGGTTTTGCAGAATGTAATCATTCACTTTTACAAGCATAGGAGTCCAAAACTTTCTTCTAAAATAAATATCCAGCTATAGCTTCCTACAGTAATGCCTTCCTAAGCTGGTAGCCCAAAACGTTTCAAACCAACAACAGCATTAAATGGACAAGATTTAAATTTTCTACCAGCGAAACAAGTTAGGATTCAACCTGACAGAACAGGATTTAATTTCTCCTATTGCATAGAAATGTAAATAGCTACAGAAACAGGCTGTTGGTGAAGGCTAGCTCGGTCTAGGAGAAGTTCAGGTAGTGAAAAGACCTTGTCAGCACACAGGAAAGCAGAGGGCGATTAAAGAGCTAAAGCCTTTCTCGTGCACCTCGTGCGCACCAGTGGTTTCGTGCTTGAACACTAGAAAGAGAAACTGCTGTCTGACTGATTTGATTTGTAAGGTATCTGTTAGACATCTGTTGATGTGAGAGAAAATTCCCCTTGAGCCCAAGGTCAGGAGACTGGTGAAGTTTCCTGAGATGCAAGGACGAGGCTTCTTACCAGGAAGTTGTCCCTCTTTTGAAGGTCTGTATTCTTTGTCGGTGTCTCATCGTTTTGTCTGTGTAGCAAGTGGTTGCCTGGTGCGTCTGCTAAAGACTTCCTAACGGCGCTGTGGTGCAATACAGCGTGCACTTCTCTAGCAGATTAGCAGCTACTGGAGTGTAATTTCCTAGGTCTTGATTAGAAAAGTGATTTGGGATTTTTGTAACTGTAAGGCTGTTGTTGCTTGACACACTTAGATGGTCAAACCTGTGCCGCCTGCTCTCTTCCAACAGTTGTCTCTGCTGTTTTACCTGTCTTGAGGAAAGCTCTGTGGAAGGAGCTCTGCAATGTATTTCAAGACACAAAAGCATCACACGAGACCACTGTGAAACTGCAGGTTCTTTCAAAGTTGTTGCCATCTTCAGGGAACAAAGGGCTGCAAAACCTTATTGACCAGCTTCCTGCTGCTCTTGAGAAAGCAGAAAACAATGAGAGGTAGGCAAATCCAGTTGCCCTGTTTCAGGACTCAGTCCTATAAAGCATTGTGATAAATGCAGATGAATGCAAGTATTCAGAGAATCTGTGACGTTCTGCTTTGGCAGCAAGACATTTTTAACATGTGCAAAACTCATATTACAACATTGAGAAAAAATAAAATATCTTTCTGCAGTTGGGCAGTGGCAGATGCCATATCTAGAGTGCTTGAAAACTCTGAAGAGCTGCATTCCTGGAGGAAATGCCTGTTATCAGCCTGCATGAAGGGGTTAGTTGTCATGTACAACAGCAGTAAAGATGAAAGCAAGCAAGAAGTGGAGAGATCCATGCTGCTGAGGCTAGAAGAGTTATTGGTGAGACTTCTTTTCATCTGCAGGGCCAGAATGTGACTGTGCATATATGTTATTGTGCTCTTGTATCTCAGGTAAATGTAGATTGAACTTTATTTTCTATTTTATAGATAATGGCTTCTATGGGCTTTTAATAGCTTTTGCAGAGTTAACTTAGCCCTGCTAATCCTTTATAAGAAACAGTTTTGAGTTGTTCTTGATGATGGTTGTTAACGGTCTTCTTTGAAAATCAAGAGTTTGAGATGTTCAGGAGTTAAAAATCAAAGGTTGCCAATGGATCTTTTTATTTTTCTTTAAAAAAAAATTATAGAGACACTTCTGACAAGATGCACCTGCCATGCTGTCTGAATTCTGTGGTAGAAATCTAGTTGATCATAGATAGAAATCCTGACTTTGATCATGAAGAACACCACTTGATCATTCCTTCTGTACTGCTGGGTGTTTTTGTAGCTCAGTAAGGTAGGCAGAACCATGTAAGGCATAAAACCAAAGGTCTCTGCAGGCAGCAACTGCCCTTGACTTCTTGATGGCTTCTGGTGAGACCCCCGTTAAGACATGACTGATTGTGCAGGACGAGGGTCTCGCAGGACCTGAGGGGCCACCGCACAGTGTTCGTCCTGGTGATGTTCACAGGCCTGATGAGGTTAGCAGCTGCTGTTGCCAGGGCTGCTGGCATGGGCAGCTGTCAGTCTTCTTAAAACTAATAGTTGTTTATTGCAGTTTGTAGGATTTCAGGGAAGGCCAATTTTTGTAAAGAACATGTACACCCAGCCACCTGTTTGCCACATGCAAAGGTTGGTTAGCTTAAGCACACCATAGCCAACTTTTTCTTCCTTCCATGCTTCAGGAGTGTGAAGAGTTTCAAGACTTTTCGGATTTTTTGATACTTACAGACTAGCTTGCTTTTTAACTGCATGCAGCCTGTATGCTCCCTCAGACCCAGGACCACTAAAACAAGACTTGTAGTTTCATTTGATTGAGGAGGTGGAATTGTTGTGTCCGAGAGCTTTCTTCCCTCTCACCCTTTGATGATCCCACCTGAGTGCTTGGCTTGCACGTTGTTAGCGTGTCTATTGAACAAAAGTCTCTGGTCTTAACGATCTGTAGAGGTTCTACGAGCTAAATGTAAACACTTGTTTTTCTTATGGTATGCGCAGCGCTGTGTCGAAGAAGTGGACCCAGATGAGTGGTACAGCCTTGTGAGGATAGGACTCAGGTAAGTAATTCTGAGGTGCGCCAAAGGTGCTCCAAGAGGTCCGGTTCTGGTTGCTTGACCTCATCCTGTGTTATACTGGAAACACCCTGTCTGCCTTGAATTCAGTCAGATTTGGTGATGCTCCTTGCTTCTTGAGATGCACTGTATGTCACATCCACTGCCTCCATTCGAGCCTGAACCTCCACAACTGCAGGTAGATTTGAATTTTGTGCTCCAGTTAACATAACTAACGTAGCTAACTGCATAGATGGAGTAGCTTCTTTTCAACTTGCATAAAGAAGCTTTATGCTCATGTAGCTTCTTTTCTTTTTATTTTATCTTAAATACAATTCTTATGAAGGCAGAGTCAGATTTTCACCTTTAAATGTAAACCATTTAAATAGAAAATGGTTTAGAATAATCTTAGCTTCTGTGGAGGTAGAAGTGTTAATCTGAATGGTTGCCACCTGAAGGGTTAGTAGGCAAAATTCTATTTGTGAAGATCAGTCCAGCTACAAGTGTGACTGTGTGTTGATTCCCCTTTGTTTTTTATTATTAGATACCAGTATAGCTTAAAAAGAATTAAATCAAAACAGCTCAGGGAAGGAGGTGCATGTGTTTTCATTTAAAAAAATTAAATGTTGCTTTCTTTGCAAGTTCTCATTTCTTAGACAGATTTTTTCAAGCAGATTTCCTTGAGTTTGGTTGAGATCTGACTTTTCTGTGATTCTTGCTTCTAAAGGTACCGCTACAGAGATGAAGCATTTTTGAAAGTCCTGAACATTGCTATTCAGTTGTTATACAAGAAAGAATCCTCACTTACTCAGAGCTTAGTCAAGCTCTCCAAACTTCACATGATGGTCACGCAGCACTCTCTATTTTTGTCAGCCATACTGAGGTCAAGAGAAGAAGAAGACACGAATATCCAGACAAGAGGTATTTTTTTGTCATCTTGCTCCCTTTAACTGTATTTAGTAATCTTGACTTTCTTGCATTATATATTCTGTCCATCCGGTAACCTGTCCACCTACATATGCTTGCAGAGCCATTAAACAATACCAAAATACCAGCTTTTAGATTAAATTCTACCTCTGCTTGGATACAGGTGTTGCATTAATTTTATTGCTGCCTGTTTTAAGCACTTAGGTTTCTAAAACTTCTGCAAAGGTGGGCTTGGGTCTTGTTGTTTGATAGGTTTGGAGTTTTTTAACCCTGTTGAAATCTCTAGTTGATTCATTTGGTTTCTGTGAGGCTTTTAGTCTGAGATCACTGAAGTGTGCATAGATTCGCTTAGAAACGTGTGTGACATTTAAACCTATTTTAAAACAGGTTGATCCAGACAGAAGATTATAAGTTGATTTTGCAAGTTGTATCAAAAATGTTAATTTAATCAATGTGTGTTTGATACTGAAACTTTTAATGAGGTATATCTTTCCATGAGTAAGATAAATTGGGTGCTAGTTCATGCGTAGGACTGGCTTTGTTTCTTCAGCTCTGCCAACTGAAATAGTACCTCAGTTTGAACTAATAATTTAATCTCCATTCACCTCAGCTTTTTCCTACTGTACATGGCTTTGAGGTCCAGTGATAGAAGGAGCTGTGTAAGAAAAGGGGAGAAAATTCTCGGGGCAGCGTGTTGATAACAAATGTTGTCTATATTGGTGTAAACAAACTTAAAATTTTTAAGTCACCTGAAAAGAGCAAAAAGCTCTTGTGAGGTCACAGATTCAAGTGAAATTAAAACTAAATAATAGATTTTGCTGCTTACTGTGTGCGTTTTCCCTTTTGAATGTGTTCCTGTAGAGCAGCGGGATGGATTCTTTGAGGCTAATTTGAGTAATTCAGAAACTCGGTGTCAAGAGTGCATTCATTCAGGCTGTTGTCTTTGTGATCTGTTTTATTTTGACATACATTTTATATTCCTGTAGATATGTAGGGGGGAAAGCCCATGCCTTTTCATATACCAGGAGTAAAGAAATCTGGATTCATGTCTTGAATCTGCTGCAGATGCCTTATTTGCCTTTGAGTAACCCGATCACTCATTTGATCTGTTTCTCAGCTAGTTCTAAAATAAAGATGGACAATTTTTGTATTGCCCCTTTAGTGTACTCAGGGAAATGGCTTCTGGTATTTATAGAGGTAGATCTTGATCTTAAATGTACAGCACATGTGTGCATCTATTTAGAGAGGATATATGTGTGTGTGGGGTGGGGTATTTATATACACACTATCTAACTGAGAGATCAACAAAGCTAAAGCTCTATGTTTATTTCAGAGGCCTTGGTGGATATTCTGCTGACAGTTGTGAAACTCAGCCCTTCTCTCTGTGAGAGCAGTCACCTCGCTGTGTTGCTGGGTGCTTATGGAGCTACGCTGAGTGCTGTGGGTAAGTGTGTTTAGCCTGGGAAAGGTACTTTCTGCTAGATCTGGTTTTCATCTTCTTAGGTGACTGACTTCGGGTTTCACCTTGTTTTTTATTTAGATCAGAAGATACTGCTACTGTTGCAGTTGTATGAGAAGAATAACCAAAGTCTCATAAGTTCCAGGTAAGCTGACCGCCTGCCTTTGTTCGACTAACTACGCACAAATAAGCAGTCTCAAAACTGGTGTTTTTCCAGGGTCTTACTTTTAACTGAGACAAACAGGGAGTAAGGTCAAACCTAGAGGTGAATGTTGCTTTTGGAAACATTTTTCCTGTTCTTGATGTTATTCTCGTGTGTTGCCCAAACTTTTGAGTGTCTGTGAGTTGGGTGAGGGACTGTTTCATTTCAGCAGTCCCTCTCTCTCCATAGCAAGGATGCCATGTAGGGGTTTCATCACAGATGAAGGCCAGAGCACACGTTGCTGGTGTAGGACTCCTTCCCCATCCCTGTTCCCTTGGGATATGAGATTTGCCACTCATCACAGCCCTTGCTCTTTTCAGCGATCTTGCTCCTGTGTGCGTGATACTTGGTTCTGGTGCTTTGCAGGAGAGGAGGGGAATAAGCCAGTGGAGGAGTGATGTATAACCCCTTTCATAAACATATCTTGTTAGTTTTGGGGTATTAACATGGTATCAGTGCCTTCCTTGGCCTTCAGCAGCCTGGACTGTAGTTCTCCTTGTAGCACAACCTTGCAATACACCTACACGCTTTGTAAAAGAGAACCATGTATTGCATGAAATAATAGGTTTCTTTCCAGGCCCTGTGCCCAAGCAGTCCGCAGGAAAGTCTGCTGCTGACAATTCTTACATACACTGATGATTTTGGTCTGCCTCGCTCAAATGCACTTTTCTGTCATGGAGGTATGGGCATAAATATTAACAGCGATGTGAGAGCGCTGGTGCAGGCAGTTGGAGCAGGACTGGACGCTGAGTTAAGAACCTTTGTTAGCCAACCCAGCAGAGCCCAACTTGTGTTACAAATGGGAGCCTTCAGGTTGTGGATGATAAGAAGCCTAACACCATCCTGCCCGCTGCCTCGCTGACAGTGAGGCATGCTGCTGGCAGTACCCACGTAATAAAAGACAATGTCAATAGCACTTTAAGGACGATGGCAAAGTAACTGGGGTCTAAGGAGCAACTCGGAGGAGAGTAAGGATTTGTGTTTTACTGAACCACTGTGCTGCCAGTTTCAACTATCAGTTGTGTTTGAGACAACCTTGTCTGACCAGGTCTTGACCACTGTCTCTTCATGCAGCTGCTATCATACTCACCTACATTTCTAGCTTTAAACAGGATTTTTTTAGGAGAAGGTAGGTTCTGACTTGGATTAACAGGGTAGGAAATAGTTAATGAGACACCCTCAAACTGAATTTGAAAAGCTTTTGGATGGATGAAAAAGGTGTTGCCGGGGAAACGATTTCTACTTTCAAGTTCCCACAGAATAGTAAGGGAAGGGAAAACTTAAATACTAATTTATATCCTCTGTAATTGCTTTTCACTCAGTGCTAGCAGTCTGTTGATTAATGCCTTTACTTTTAACAATATTTAAGAATCCTTCTATGGGGTCCAGCTGCTGTGGAGCATCACAAGACTTGCAAGAGTCTAGGGAAGTCACTATGGCAGCAGCCAAGCATGGAGGAGATTCTGTGTCTGCTAGATCGAGAAAAGATGATGAAGACAATTCTGTCTTTCCCTCAGCATCGTCGTCTTCTGTTATCACAGGTGCTTTGCTTCAGACTGGTGAATCAATTATCCTTCTTTTGATGTAGAAAAAGAGCCTTTCACTTTAGCAATTTCTTTCTTGCGTTCATGTAATACATTGCAATTTGTTTACTTTAGGAGAGTAATTTAAATTCAGAAGAAGGCTGGAATTAATTATGTAGGAGAACTTTTCAAATGAATTGCAATATATGAACCACATCTTGTCAGCAGGTGTGATTGTGGGAATTGCAAAGATTGTTGTGTATAAGCGAGACCAGAATTTGACTTTCAAACAATTGTTAAATTTGACTGAACTTGGGGGCCAGTTAGCTCAGTCGTCTGAGCATGGTGCTGACAACACCAGGGTCACGGATTCGATTCCCGCTCGGTCCCCATGTGTTGCCTGATCTACTCGAGAGGTGGCGTCCCTGCCCATGACAGAGAGGTTGGATTAAATGATCTCTAAGGTCTCTTCCAGCCTAGGCCATTCTATGATTCTAAGGATCCACTGACAGTGTGCTCTTCAGTCTTTCAAATACCTCTTCAGTCTTTCTATACCTGTTCACTCTGGTCAAGGGAAATAGTTTTGGAATCCTGATAGTGAAAGCCAGGTTTAAATACAAGCATGTCTCATGCTATGTTGCATTATATTCTGCAAGGTTTAGTATCAGCTGCTTTGTAATGGGATGAGGTGGTTGGGGAAGTTTGAAACCAAGCTGGAAATTGGTGTTGTTCCTTACAAATACTGGTTTGGATTTGCTTTCAGGAGTCGCTATATAGAGATGAAAGTGTCAAGAGTCTCGATGACTTATATGATCCTTGCTTTCTACTTCAACTCTTCAGTGAACTGACCAGACCAGGTAAAGAGACCGTTTCTCTTTGTTATTTAGTGTCATTTTACTCTCTTGTGGGATCTGTGTGGCTCCGTCTGTAGCTCTGTTATTCTCCAAGAGCTAACACTATGAAGAAATTTGTGCCTGGCTTTGCAGAGAAGAAACATACACCATTTAACCACCTAATGCATTGCGCTGTAATTTTCAGAGCGATTTAACAAGTAACGAGCTGTAATTGGCATTAAAGTTTTTTGCCTTTTCTTTAAAGCACTTTCCCAAATAATGCAATATATTCAGTGAGGTTTGGCTACTGAGACGTAGAGCAGCATAGCAGCAGGTGGGGATTCCAGCCGAGCTGCTCTTGCCTGGACAGCTAGGTGCCCCCCACATAGCTCTTTTAAATGTAGTGGATTAACCCTATGTAGATGGACTGATCTGGTGAGCGTGAGGAGAGGTTTTTAAAGTGGGACTGGAAACAGCTTGGAAGAGACAAAAAATGGACAAAGACTTATGTTCTCTGATCTATCAAACAGCATTCCATGTATTGCAAAAACTAGCACAGTGTAATTATGAAATAGTATAAGAGGGATCAGTAGAGAATATTCCCCACCGGAAGGTTGTGGGTTTTGTTCTGGTGAATGTGTAGAGCTGTATTCTGTATCAGCTCTGGTGTGAGAGCAAAACAAGGATGGGAAGGCTGATACCTCCTGCTTCTACACGTGGTGCCCCACCTGCAGCTTGGTAGGCTCAGTTCTGATGCTGCTTTGCAGCTGAGTTTCTGAAGCAGTCATGGACTCCTTTCAGCTGTGCTCTCTGTGGGAGCTGGGCAGAGGTAGGGCAAGTTGGAGAACATTCTGTGTTGGAGGTGTTCTCCGGGAATAAACCAGAAGCCACTATTGCTGGGGAAGGGCAAAGTTGTTCCCTGACCAGGATGAATCTCTGCAGGAATACTGGTTTCTGTGAGGGGGCATCGTGACTGTTGGGGCTCAGACTTGTCGGAAAGTTTGGTGAGATATTCATCAGTGACCTTGATGAGGGATTGGAGAGCACTGTCAGCAAGTTTGCTGATGACACGAAACTCGGAGGAGTGGTTGACACACCAGAAAGCTGTGCAGCCATTCAGAGAGACCTAGACAGGCTGGAGGGCTGGGTGGGGAGAAATCTTAGGAAATTCAACAAGGGCCAAGTGTAGAATTTTGCACCTGGGAGAGAATAACCCCATGTGCCAGTATAGGTTGGGGACTGACCTGCTGGAGAGCAGCATAGGGGAAAGGTACCTGGGGGTTCTGGTGTGCAGCAGGATGACCATGAGCCAGCAATGTGCCCTCGTGGCCAAGAAGGCCAATGGCATCCTGGGGTGTATTAGAAGGGGAGTAGCTAGTAGGTCAAGGAAGGTTCTCCTCGCCCTCTACTCTGCCCTGGTGAGGCCACATCTGGAATATTGTGTCCAGTTCTGGGCCCCTCAGCTCAAGAGAGACAGGGAACTGCTTGAGAGAGTCCAGTGCAGAGCCACAGA